TGGACCGGGGGCAGCCTTCCCAGAGATGCCGCGGCCGTTCGCGGAATTTTTCCGCCCCACTTGAGGTTAGAAGTAATTAATTTGGTTTCCTATTGAGCTAGGAATTTAAAACGATTCTATTTTCTGTCAAGGTAAGTTTACAGGGTACAATACGCGCTCTGCTTACGTTGGGGTTGAATCGAAGGTTTCCGCTTTTTACAACGGTTTCGATGAAGCGCTTCACCCATCTTTTGTTTCGTTTAATCCTTGTCGGCTAACCGAGGTGGGTATGTTGCTGCCGGGACAGCATTCAGCACCAAGAAAGGCGTTTTCCAGTGTTGCGGCTCTAACTGCTGGTAATGTAATTTTTGGAATATTCGAAAACTGAAATTAATGATTGCGAGAATGAAAATTAAATTTGCGTGAGACTACGAGGGGCTGTTCTTAGGCAATCGATGGCATGTTTGCCGTGTTGTTCCCTCAGCCCCGTTAACATACGTTTTGAAGGATGCAGGAGAACATTTCGTACTGGGGCGTTCTCATGGGCACGAATTTTGGGAACGAATGGGGTTTGTGTTACAAGGAATTGTTACACAGGGGTTACACTGAACACAGGCAGCTCCCTCCCTCCCTCAAGCAGCCCTCAACAACGAAACAAAGACAATCGATCCCCTTCAGTTCCATTTATTCAGATCGTATTATTCTTGTAGTTTGAACTTCAACATAACACAGCATATTGCACTTACCGGAGAGCAGCACAACAGAGAAAAAAAATAAGTACAATACTTCAGTTTATTCCCAAGGAAGAACAAAATGTTGTGATAGCTGTTGCTCTTCTTAAATATATGAAACCAACGGAAAATCTAAGTATATGTACACAAGATTTACTAAGTCCCTGAATATGCCATTCAAAATTTTACACAGACTTTTTTATATTTTTTTTTTTTACAGAGATATACATTATGTCACACACAGTTTCAGCTTGAGAAAACTTTGCACAATTATACCCCAGCTACAAGGCTGTTGGGATTTTTGTTTTGGCTTGTTTGTGGTAGTGTTTTTTTTGTGTGTTTTTTTTTAAGGCTGCCCCCCCCCCCCCCCGATTTATGCCAATGATTATTCAGACCATTTTCTTCAGGATTATTCCCCCATTCTCCACCCCCTCCACTTTGCCAGAACGTTGAAGGAAATACCAACTAAAAATAAGTCTAGGAGAAAGCCATTACATCATGACAAAGGTTAAACTGTATATATTGCACGTTGGTACAGAAACTAAAGCAGTGATGCTTTCATTCCCCCCTTTCCTCTCTCTCACACGCTCCTCTTTGCTCCTGGAGCTGGGCCACGTTAAGGAACCTAACTAACTGTAGTCATAGTCCGACGAGTCCTCCTCGGACACCCCTGCCAGGTCTCTGCGGTAGGAGTCCACCCCATTCTCCCCCACCTCCCCCACAGCCTGCAGGCTTTTGCCCGCGCCTTTGCGCTCCTCCATTTTGATGGTGTCGTAGAGTCCCTTAGGTCCTTCTTCAAGGAGGATGTTCCTCTCTGAGTGAGAGGGTTTCATTTGGCAGACGTTTCTGAGGAAGAGGAGGACGGGGGCGTAAAGCACGTTGGCAAGACCCATTCCCAGGTTGAGCTGGGCGAAGCCCATGGTGTGCACGATCTGGCCGGCCACGACGGGCCCCAGGGCGTACGCCACGCAGTAGGAGATGTCTCGTAGACGGAGACGTGGCGCACGTCCACCAGGAAGGCCAGGGTGGGCAGCAGGGCTGTGTCCACCAGCGCGATGCCGAAGCAGATGCCGCAGAGGGGAACGATGACCTGCCCGAAATTCCTGCAGGCCGGCACCAGGCAGGAGCTGGCGCCGATGATGGCCATGCCCAGGGCCCCGTAGAACCACTGGAGGTGGGGGTACGCGGCGGCCAGCCGGACGGTGACGTAGACGCCCAGCACGTGGGGGAAGAAGGCGGGCAGCCAGGTGAGGCCCACCTCCCACTCGCTGGCGCCCATGGACT